AGCCAATGTTCACTTCCAAAAACTTTTTATTCTGTTTAAGAATTCCTTTACCTTGCGGAGTGTTTGGTCGCTATTTCTCACTACGGCTGTCGCAAGCTTTCGTAACACCTGTCCAAGGCACTGAAAACGCTTTTTTGACGTACTGCTTTCGTTGTACTGTTATTTCTGGGCTTGCATGAAATAATTGTATCAGACTTTTCGTAAGCATGGTTTGATTTTCCTTTTCATATCTGGTTTACGATCGGATCCTTCGACTGCATGCCTCTGTACGTTGCTGTTTCTGTGGCATACAGTTACCTATGAATAAACAACGACTAAATAAACAATGAATAATGTTTATTGGATAGTAGAAGTGGAAAGGAAACCTTGCACCACGTTTAAAGGGGTATTTTGGACAGGTGTTACGAAAGCTTGCGACAGCCGAAGTGAGAAATAGCGACCAAAACACTCCGCAAGGTGAAAGGAATTCTTAAACAGAATAAAAAAGTTTTTAGAAGTGAACATTGGGCTTGGTTTTCGAAACTCGTATAACTTCCGGAGGAATGACCGTGGCACTGTGAAACAGCAGCACGAGCTGGAGATTGCACGCACAAAAGCGACGACTTGCTTCAAAACAACATCAAATAGTGTTCCACACAACGAAGGAAACACATAAAAGATGCTGTGATGAAGAAGATGTCGAGAGGAAAACGGCAAAATGAAAAACGAAAAAGAAACCTTACGCAACAAGCAAAAGGGCGGCGATTGCTGCACTACCTGGAAAAACACATGCAGAAAAGCGACAAGTTGCTTCAAAACAGCATCAAATAGTGTTCCACACAATTAAAGAAACACATAAAAGATGCCACAAGTGAAGGGAAAAAATTCACCGAACATGCAAAAACCACGTTCTGATATCGGAATTTGCAAAAAAAATCGTTCAAATTTCATGCATGACAGCAAACTTTTTTGCTATACTGACCTACCTGTTCTGAAGTGAAGTAGAATAGTGTAGAGAATAATAAAATGCAGCGGAATATTCGAAAATAGTAGAAATCAACGAAGTCGACGAATACAAATCAGCTGATCACCACGACAACTATCAAATTTGTGTAGTCCGCAATCACGTCTTTTGGCTCCTCCCACCCTGTCTCCCGGATATGGACTGTACATACATACACACACAACCGCTTATCGGATTATAAATAGTAGGATAGACAAGCATCGCAGGGCGTGAGAAATCCATCTGTTTAGCAGTTTCTCCAATCGCACAGGAGCGCTTACCCGATAAGAGTCCCCACTTACTAATTGTTGAAGTGCTACTCCTGCTCAATAGAGAGCACAACAGAAAGGAAAATACTGGAAGCCCTTGAGATAAAACGCTTATCACCCGAAATAAACAGCAAGGAAGAGCTACGTGACATCCTTCAAATTGTCACATATGTATCATGCATTTGAACCGTTGCATGGCATTCCCACCATTTATGGGCTCGAACCGGGTAGGCTAACTAATTTTGTCGTCGTGTAGGTTTTATTTTATTGAGGCAAACAGAGTTGGTTCAATATATCCTGTATGTTCTCCGACTTCAATAAGAAACACTATTTTAGACCGGACGAAGTTGCCAAGTGCCGAAATAATGCGAATCCTTTTGGGAAGCTTTCGAGATTGGTTCTTTTAAAGCTTTCTGAAATGATTTTTCGGAGGCTCAAATTGTTGTACAGCATTTAGACCCCATGGGCTTCAGGACACCATATACTAAGAAATCTTCTCGCAGGTTTATTTGAATTAAGATCGGTGTTTGAAGGTATATCTTCCGAAGGATGGATGAGCATACATCTTTTTTTTTAAGTCCATGGCGACTTAGTGCCCTCTCCTTATTAGGCGTGTTATGTATCTCGTATATGTATTGTATCTCGTTACTTTTTCAGATTTTCGAAACGGAGCTGGGAAAGTACGAAAATCTAAACCCGTTTGTCATGGTCAGCATACCGAAACGTTATCGTAACACCTCGATTCATGAGCAATTAAGGAGGAAGTCTTATGTACTCATGACGCACTTTGATCTGCACGCCACTTTCATGGACATTCTGAAGGTTTCGTGAGATTTTATGGGTACTAGTCAACGTTAAGGTTCAGATCCAATTCAAAAAATTTTATTGATATATATTATTGTTTATTTATTGCTAGGCTGTCATGAACACTTTTGAGGTCCAGCCACTGTCGAACTTCTCGGATACATCATACCGCGCACCGCAGGGCAGTGGCTCATCCTTGTTTAGAGAATGGAGAGGACCAAGAAACTGTCGCACGTTACCGATTCCGTCACAGTATTGTATTTGCCAATATAATCGAACCAATCTAACGTTAGTTCCATGATGGTTTTAATTCTCACCTTAAACAGAGCAATTCTGAGCGATGCAGAGTGGGCGAAGTAATGGCCACTAACCAACCTATCAACACTTCTTTCAAGATCTGACGCACCTGTTTCCAACACCTTCTTTTGGAAACCAGCAAAGCATACTAGAAGAAGCTTATTTATGAGACTTCATCTAGCGCAGTGGCCTACATAGACATGCCCTTTCAGACGGCGAGATGTAATCGACCTCACCTTAAAAGGACGGAGGGAGTAGGGGTAGTGTGACAACTTCAAAGAGGGAGAATATCGGTCAGATGTGTACTGATTTATGCTGTTGCACCTGCTGCTTGTGGATCGTATGAGACGTTGGAGCTTATCGACGGGTGAAACACGTTGAAAATTGATCACTCATTCAAATGACCATATCCTTCAGAGAGGGAAATCTTTCCTAATCTGAGAGAAAATTTGGAAGTCCCGCGACTGGTACTGTCCAATCAGCAGCAAATTTGTAGAAATCAAGTTACAGTTTTGGGTTGACTGACGATATACTTGCGAAGCGCTGCTATGACGGCCTTACAAAAGCCATGACTTCGAGTCATATCGGAAAAATTAAAGGAATCTTGCGCGGAAAAATCATGATTCTATTTCAGCCATAAATCACTGGCTTGAGACTCATTATCCACGATAATAGTGAAAAGAACTGAAGTATTGCTTTCGTTTTGATTAGAAATTCGAAAACTCGAAAAGGCTGCTACGCGTTCGAATTGCCCACGGACGTCTTTCACGAATGCTGGCGACGGGGATGCTCAACTCTTTCACGAATGCTGGCGACGGGGATGCTCAAACTTGGTTCTTGGAGTGCATTCACTAGAAGCTCTTTCTGGCCTTCTGCTTCGTTGCATTCACATCTTACACTTCTACTCCATCCTATTCCATCGATCGATTTGTCTCCACTCTCCGAAATCGCGCGCTTTAACCCGATTCTCTCATTGCGTCGCCTGGTACGTAGCCGGCCAAACGCCGTCTTCTTTCCATGCCTCGCCTGGCTCTGCCTCCTGGTCCTTCGATGGTCCATAACGTGTAGTTTTTGTACGTTTGTTTCTCTTCAGAAACCGAATCTTCATGCGTGAAACTTTGTGTGCTATTTCCAGTGATCACAACTGACATATTCATGTTAGGAAAGAGTGCAAGAATTTTCCGCGCAAGATTCCTTTAACATAGCGCGTGAACTAGAGCGATTGTAATATTTAATGATTGGTGAAATGACTTGATATACTAATTACGCCAAGCTTCCCGAATTGAAGATTTCCCTCGAAAACGGTGGAAAATCTTGTTTCACGAGTTTTCACTTTCCCAAAAGCTGGAAATTCCTTTATATGCATCATATGAGAAAGGTTATTGAAATGGCACTGCAAACTGGATGATTAACTCTTGTTGACTGGGTACTGAAACGATTCTGCGTTACGGTGCTGTCACTCTTTGGAACTTCTTTCGTTGAGAGTTGTGTGCAAAAACGAAATCGGATATGAAATCCACAAACTTTTTGCCTCCTCCTAAAAATTTCAAATGTATGTAACAAAATCTCAACTAGAGCAGTTTCGTGTCTATAAAAAATTGAAATTAAATTTCTTTTTGAGTGTGAATCCCTCCTCGTCATTGCACACGGCCCCTTTCAGAAGCCTGTTGATTCCTCTCAGACCTAAATTTTCCCGGCAGAGGGCAGCGTCTGAAGCGAATTCAATGATAGTCTGTTGAGGTACTCGCCATGCGCACGACATACAATCAGGTTCGCGAACTTGTTTGAGTGGTAACATTTGTGTAGGAAAACTTGCGCATGTGAATGAACAGACTACTGCATTAAAGGACGAATTCACGATTAGAATGAAGGTCGAAGAAGGAGTAATTCACCTAGTTGAGGGACCCGCGGACCTCCTAAGGGTGCGAACTGAAGCGCAATTGGCACCGAAGGAGTTGACCTCGGCGACCTATTAAGGCTCAATCTTGGCGCGGTGGGCCAGTGCACGCCCACCGATCATCTGATCACTCGCCGCAGGTCTATACGTGGCGAGTGATTAGATAGGTGAGAGAGCGTAGTGTTGAAGAGGGCACAGCGATGAGAGTCGCATCAATGCTCAAATCAACGGGCAAGGAAGGGGTCCCATTTTCCTTTATTTCATATTTCATTTATTATTTTTTCATTTTTTCATTTCATTCGTCGGGTTCTGGGCCGTTTCTCATGGTTTTTCCTTCTTTAGTGTACCACTCACCATCGCTAAGTTAATTTGAAATGGGTTGCCTTTCCAGCGTGAATTCGTCCTTCAATGCTTGATTTCCCCCACCCATGTCAAGGATCCATCAACGCATGCCTGACCCTGCTGTTGAGAAAGGGATACTCCAAAGAAGCTCAGTGCCTAAAAACGGGCCATCAACTTTGACGACCCTATCTATTCAGGACTGGGCTTCGCTAGTGGTTTCGAGCCTTCTCAGCAAAATCAGTTCTGTAGGATTGTAAGCTTTTGATCAATCCCACAGAATTGCAACTTATACCGCTATCTCTACAGCTTTTTCCCTATCTCCAATCCGTCTTGGGACCGATTTACGAACTTTACGAGAAACACGCCCACGCCCGGTAAAGTTTGAACGCACCGTCAAAATTTGAAGTCCCTCTTTTGCCAGCTTCAATTTCATTTTTTATATTTTTTTTCTACCTTCCGGGCTTTTCTAGATCAAACTAGGACTGGGGAACCCCGCCCAGTTCTATGCACTCCCGGAATACCACTAGCAGCCGATTATCTTCTCGATTTCCTGTTCTTTTTTCCAGTCACAGCCCCGCAAAATATAAGTTACGTAGCGAATCTTCTATATCGGTGCACGCTCCTCCCATCATGAGCACTTGATCTGCTCTCCGCTAGTTCCACTTTCTCCGGTTTCTTGGTTGCCTCACTACCGAGTTATAAATGTTTGGCAAGGCTCGTCAACAATTAGCACTTGGGCTGTCTTCTCTTCCCGCCTCCAAACAATTTTTCCAATCTTATGGCCTTCCTGAGGCCGATTTCCAAGTATTTGTGGAAAGCTTCGCCATGTGGGAACGTGATCCCCCGCGAGTGAGGGGGGGGGGGTGAATATCCTGCTCACTTGGTGTGTTGTCCGCAAATGTTATAGCCATCGATTTTTGTGTGCTTTTTGTGCCGTTTGTAGCCGAGTTATGCATGCTTTAAAGCTTCGTCTACGTGGTATGCCCCCCGATTTAAGCTGGCAAAGCAGCACACTGATACGTAATTTTCCCAGTTTCTGGGTTGTTTTGAAGCGCAATTGGGAAATTTCGACGTCAACATCGCTAATTTCGGTGTATGCCCTCCCGTGGGCGGGCTTTTGCTCCGTACATCCTGGTCCATGCCGAATCTCCACCAAATTTCACCCGTCCTCTCCAAATGAACTGCTGTGCCGAATTTCGGTACAAACACAGAAGCAATGCACGCTGCGTCTCATAGTTGCAGCTCCACCTGAGAATTTTTCATATCACGCAAATTTACTTGCAAGTTAGTAACTCTCTAATCGTACTGCAGGTCGTTGTAGAAGACATTTCGACGATTTCCGGCCACTTTGAGTAAGCATCGACGACTATGAGGTACATTTTCCCATCGATCGGTCCAGCGAAATCGGCATGTATGCGATTCCATGGCCTATTTTCCACTGGCCATGAGCAAAGTGTCGTTTTGACTGGATTCTTCGCCGTTTCCTGGCAGCGACGACAAGTTTTGACGAATCTCTCGATGTCGTGGTTGATGTTCGTCCAGTAAACGTAGTTCCTAGCGAGCATCTTCATACGAGTCGTCCCTGGATGTCCGTCATGAAGTTCGCGAAGCACGGCGTCTCGTAATACATCTGGGATCAAAATGCGATCTCCGATAAGTAGGCATCCATTCTGTGTTGTGAGCGATTCTCTGAGACAATTGAATCGACTTGTGACCTCTGATTTCTTTGGCCATTCTCCGCTCCGAACGAATTTCAGAACGCTCTGCAGAACTGGATCCTTGGATGTTTCTTCCGCTATTTTCTTCGCATCGACTGGTAACTTCGATATTGCATTGACGAATATCGTGTACGAGTCTTTTTCGATTGTGGCGATGACTATATCTTCTTCAATTTTCGGTTGGTCCGCGACGAGGCGAGATAGGGCGTCTGCTTGTCCAAAGCTAGAGGTACTTCGGTATTCGATAGTGAAATCGTAGTTCTTCACTATGAGAGCCCAGCGCTGGAGTCTGTTAGCCGTGTAAATAGGTACTCCTTTCTTGCTTCCGAAAATTGCGAGAAGTGGTTTGTGATCAGTTAACAGCTTGAAATGACGTCCGTATATGTAACGGTGGAATTTCCGTAAGGCGAACGTTATGGCGAGAGCCTCCTTCTCGACTTGACCGTAATTCTTCTCGGCAGCTGTCAGTGAACGGCAGGCATGATGAATTGCTTTTTCCGTTCCATCCGAAAAGCGGTGACTAATCACTGCTCCTATCCCATACTCCGATGCGTCGGCCGCGATGACGATCTCCTTTGTGGGATCGTAGTGGGTGAGCAGCGCAGCATTCAAGAGGCGTGGCAATCCCGTTTGGCGCGTTGGAATGCGTCTTGACACTCGGCAGACCAATTGAACGGAATGTTCTTCTTCAGCAGATCGTCCAACGGTGCACGTAGTTGTCGCATCTCGCTGATGAAGTGTCCGTAGTAACTTAGCATCCCCAGGAACGATCGTACCTGGCCGATGTCCGTGAGGGGTGTGTGGCATCTTGCGAATTGCTATCGATTCTTGGCTTCGGATCGGGTCGGACGTCCGGTAGCATCGATTATATTTCCCAGGTATCGGAGTTTGAGGCATCAGGAAATTGCATTTTTTTCGATCCGGACCGGACACGGAAGCCATAATCGGATATCCTTTTGAACAAAGCTTCCAGATTGGCGACGTGCTCCTCGATATTGCGGCCTGTGACAATAACATCGTCGAGGTATGCAGCGCAGCCTTCGAGTC